TGTAAGAAATATCTGATTATCTACCCAACCATAAAAAGAATTTACCAGACACTGTGCTATATTGACAAAATAGGCAACCCATAATATCCGCAAAATGTATTTGGCGGTGACCAAACAAAAGCCCACTGGACGAAAGCGCATGCGACAAAAGCCCACAAAAAAGAGCCCTCTGGGATAATTGCCCACGCGACTAATACCCACATCGATGAAAGCACACATTGGTAAAAGCCCACACAGATAAAAACTTACATAGACATAAGCGCACGTTGATAAAAGCCCACACTGACAAAAACCCACACCGAAATGTATGCTACGTTCAAATTAATATTTTTTCCCCTTTTTTTCTTCAGCTGCACAAAGCAGATTCATGAATAAAGATAAAATAAAAAATAAATTAAATTAATAACAAATAATTGAACAATAAATTTAAGTAGCGGTACACATTTCATTTTGGGCTCCGGCTGAATTCTGTCTAGACTATGGTTCCTCAATCAGGAGGATTACTCCTAAGGGGAATTTCAAAGTTTCAGAGAGTATTTTAATCAACCTTTTCTTTATGTATTAAGTATTTTGATTTAGTTTATGAATATAAAGAAACACTTTTGCTCAAATTTTGGTATTTATCAACATGTTTTATACTTGTTTAATTTATAAAATGCATTACAAATAATACCTATTTAAACAAACACATAAGTACTTTTCAAGTTTGGGGAAGGAGGTATTGAATGATCGTTTAGCAATGGTGAAAAGGGCACATGAGGGAAATGCGGAAGACATGAAAATAAGCAATGCCCTCTCCGAGAATTGAACCTGAATATCTCGAATACGAGCCGATTGTACTAACCATTACACCACGAAGGCATGCTGGAAGGAGGGAGAAATACCTTATATACTCCCCCTTTTAAAGACGACTGGGGATTAGGGAGCCCAGTCATCAAATCTTGGTGGGGAAGAATCGTCATCCATTACCTTTTTTTTAGCTCAGGCGCCATGCTGGAGACATGAAAAATGAGCAATGCGTTCGCTGGGACTCTAACTTGACCGTCTCGAATATGCGTATAGTCTGCTGACCGTTACACCAAGAAGGCATGCTGGAAAATAGTTCTTGTAAACAGTTCTCTTAGATAAAAGGTTTCAACCTTTATCCTTATTCTGTTGTTACTGAACATCATGTTGATTAGTGAGTTTGGTTTGGTGTATGGGAATACGGCAAAGCCTCGACGGCTATCTGCCTGAGAGAGATTCCTTCGTGGAAGACTTTCTAAGAGAAAACTGGCTTGTATACAAGTTACACATGGGGTCAACTACCAGTGTTCCACGACTTTAACGAATATTGTAAAATTGTAAACATACTGTGAAAAATCTGGCACAATTTTTATAAAAATATCACCTAGGTCTTTTATACACCATATAAAAGCTATGTATTTTTTACAAAATATGGATTATAAATAACATTGATTAGATATTATTAAAATGCATATATAGATCTCAACTGTCCAATTTTTCATGAGTTTTTAATTTTTTTTTTCCAACAGATGAGTGAAAATATTATAAAAAATAAATAGAGGGCTATGTAATTGATGTTACACACAATTGATGAACCAACTTCAATATCAAGAAGTCTGATTATTATATTAAATCAATTAAATAAGCAATGTATAATTTTAATTTAAATATAAATTTAAGATGCACTATAATGAATAAATGTCTCTAAGAATGTTATTTCCCAAAGTAGCATAGATGATAAACTAAAGATCTCACAGCAAGTGTTGCCATGCCATGAGCTTTTGGATTCTGGCAGCATAATGGAATGTAACAGCTACAAAGAGTAGGAAGATTACGATATAAATATATCTGATAATACCATTTTATACCTTTTTGTTGCCTTTTTGTCAATATTATAACACATATGCTATTTAATTCTTTGGTTACTTTTAATGCAGCTGTTTAACTCCTATAATATTTCTTTCAATTCTTACTTTAGGTATTGCGTACATTAAAATTTTGTCACCGTTTGTTTTGAAAAATAAAACAATGTAAATAATCGTGCCACACTCTCTATTTTTTATTTTTTCATTGAATGGGGTTTAAGGAGGACATAACGGGAGTAGTGATGGGCAACTTCGGTACTTTCTTGTACCCAATATGAGAGTAACGGGTACAGACAAGTACCCGGTACAAAATACCCGTTACTCAAGTAACCGTTACTTTGAAAAGTACCGAAAACCGATTTCAAGTACTGAGTACTCAAGTAACGATTTGGAGTACCGGAGTAACGGTTTGGAGTACCGAAGTACCCTAGTAACGATTTGGAGTACTGAAGTGCTCTAGTAACGATTTGGAGTACCGAAGTGCCCTAGTAACGATTTGGAGTACCGAAATACGCAGCTAACGATTTTGCGCACTGAAGGAACTCTGCCACGTCACCACGTGTTTGATTTTATCTGTACGGAGTAAGATTTTGAATATCAGAAAACATGTCAACTACGGAAGTGTCTGAGGAGCAGGAGAGCGCGGCGGGTTGTTTCTGGTGTTGGGTTTGTGTAGATTGTCTTTGATGGCCAGTGGGGGTTGGGAGGATTGGCGCGGGAAGTGGATGGATGGAAACATTTTCGCTTTCGGTTGTGTCTTGTGTGCAGGTGCAGCAAAATCGATGGGTGCTCTATCAATTTCGTGAAAGGGGTCGTCCATAAATGATGTCACGCTTGGAGGGGGGGTTAGTGAAATTGTGACAGTTTGTGACAAGGCGGGGGAGGGGGGGTAACAAGAAGTGTGACATCATATTTTGATTAAAATAAAAATGTTTAAAATCAGCAGATTGAATTTTGAAGTTATTTTAAAATTACCAAAATTTGAAGGTATTTCCTTAATTGGGGCGAAAGCAACTTTCATGTGATTTTTTTTTTTTTTTTACTTACATTCCTTTCTTTCCAAAAAAAAAGGCATTCAGAGTAGGTTTTGAGAATAGGGTAGCGGCAGAAATTGTAATTTTATTGCTATTGTGTATTAATTATGTTTTTTTGCTGTAAACTTTTCTCTTATTTCATACAAAATAAGTGCACGAATCATTATTATTGTTATATTTACAGATGTCATTAAAACATATAGTTTAAATTTAAAAATAAAGTCTGAAATATGATCTATAACGTAGTGCTACGTTTTTGAACTGCAAGTATAAGTTTACGTAATATTGCGTGACATGTGACAAAGGGGGGGAGGGGGTATGTTGAAGTGTGACACTTTGTGACAAAGAGGGGGAGGGGGGTCCAAAATGTTGCAGAAAAGTGTGACATCATTTATGGACAGCCCCAAATGAGCATAGTTGCGTACTTGAAAAACGTCGGAAGATTTTCTTTGTATGATATTGAAGGAAGGGAGAGTACACTATGTTTTTTTCGGCTGTGTTGTGTTGTTGGAGGGAAACAAAGGAAAAAAAATCGGAAAATAGAAATTTTGATGCAACACTATACTATGAGTAAAAATGTCGCAATAAATTTAAAATAGAAAATTAACTATAACTAGCTGTGTAGCAACCCGATAGGATGCAGTTTCCTAAGTAAATATCAGAAATTTAATGATCAATCTGTTTTAACATGATATTTTTTATTTATACGGATAAATAACATACCACAGAAGTCGTTTAATACCTTCAATTCGGTAGTAAAGGGCATAGGGGTGCGTAGGGTCTAGAAATTAAAATAATCACAAACCTTTATCCCACTTATAGATAAGATAATGACCTTCAGTACCACTGCGAAATAAAACTTATTCAAGCTACTACCAAATTTTAAAAAAGATAAATCTCTTATTCTCTACTCTCCCCTATATATATTAAAAATTCTGAATAAAAAAGTAAGATAATTTAAACATTAAATATAAACATAAATGACCTTGTGTGTTTAATTGTACAATACTGGCATAAAATAAAATTTACACATTTATTCATATACACATGGTTGAAGAGCTTTTCCACAAAAAAGTTTATACTGTTCCTTTTTAAATTACATTTAGGTTTATTTTGAGTTAAATTTGTACTTTTGGAGATTTGGCACCGTACAATAAACAACAAAATGATTAGAAATATTTTTAAAAACAAAAAATATGATTTTAAAAAATGCATAAACATATATATTTGATTTAAACATTTTGAATTACCAAAAGCACTAGAAAATGAGGTATGTTTTGAAAAGTGAGATAATGTAATATATTTGGATGTACTACAGTAATAAGTAAATTTCAGCAAAATGGTTAAAAATATTTTTAAAAACGCACAATATGATTTTAAAAGGCACATTCAATATAACAATTTTGAATTGAAGATTATCAAAAAACACTAGAAAATAAGATAGCAAAGGGTTTAAAACTGTGAGAGCGCAATACCTGGATGCAGTAACTGCTGTAAACACAAAAATGCAACAGAATGGTAAAAAATATTTTTTAAAACTCAAATTACAGCCAAAGCGCATTCGACATAAGAATTTTGAAAGTGATTATTAAAAACACTAGGAAATAAGGCAGCATGTCTTTAAAACTACGAGAACGTAATATCTGGATGCTGTAACAGCAAAAAGCAACAAAAATATTTGTAAAATCGCATTATATGAATTCAATAAGTACATTCGATATAAAAATTTAAATTAAAGATGATTTAAACACTAGAAAATAAGATAGCATGCTTTCAACTATATGAGAACTTAACATATGTGAGTACAGCTAAGTAAATAATAGAACTGTAGAACTTTATTATTATTAATAATCTAAATACAATTTCAAAATAATATTTTTTTAAGAAATTGACATTTGAATGAAGTAATATTTCATTTAATTAAAACAAATAAAACTTTGATAGGCTGTGCAAAACGTTATAAAAATATCAAATTTTTTAACTTTACGGAAATTTTAGACATTTAATTCCTTCTATTTCTTTTTATAAAGACCACTTAAAATATGTAACGAAAAATTAAGCATAAAAAAAATTGACTCCCAGAAACAGTTTTGAAAATAATGCAGCGAAAATAAACATAGAAATAAACATTTTAAGCTGAACTTAGGTTGGAATTTTAAGAAGGTCAACAAATGATTAAATATTATAATTGTAATGTAAGAAAATTAGTTGTTTCAACTTTTGTCCACTCAAACGGTTTCGCCGATCATTCAGTATTAATCCAGCTTTAGAGAACACCCTTTCGCATGGCACTGAAGTAGCCACAAGGCCTAATTTTTTCCGTGATAATTCATACAAATTAGGAAATACATTTTTATTCTTTTCCCACCACTCCAGTGGATCAGATTTCCTGGAAAGAATGGGCTCTTGCAGGTATCTTTTCACTTCTGCCGCAGCTTTGTCGATCGCCGCGTCTGCTGCGGGAGCTGATGATGAAGTTCGAGAGTCTTTACTCTCAAACTCGAACCAAACCGATGATTCGTCTATCTCTTCATCATCCCTTCCACATCCTCAACAAGATTATGGGTAGTTTGTGCAACTACCGATAACTCACAGATAATATCACTTTCAATTTTTTTGGCGACATCACATTTGAGCCCCAATTTTTTTATTCGGGGGTCAAGGAAAGCGGCTTGAGCAATGTCTTCTCTTGAATCGATAGTTGTAAATCTATTACCCAATTCACGTTGTAGTACTAGTACCACATTTTGTACTTGTTCATTAACACTTTTACTAAGCAGATTTTCACAGATTTTTTGAAGTCCGCCGATTAACACAGGCGCCATAGATGCTGACAAGTATTTTTCCGAACTCAACTCGCAAGTCACCTTTTCAAAAGGTTTCAAAACGTCACAAAGATGTTGGACACTTTCCCATTCTGGCACATCAAGAGCCTCTGGGGGGGGTCGTTCATCAAACCCATTGTAGAACGAATAGCGTCTTTCAGTTCAAGGAAACGTTTTACCATATAAAACGTGCTGTTCCAACGAGTCTTCACATCTAAGATGACTTTTAAGTCTTTTCTCTCCTCGCTAGAGCACAGATATTTTCGCAGATTTTTTGCAGCGATATTACTTCTCCTGTAAACTATCACAATATCCCTAATTTTCGTTAGAAGGTCGTTAACCTCGTTTAGAGAATTTGTGACAGCCAAATTGAGAGAGTGTGCAATGCATCCTAAATGTTTTAACTTTAGTTCGCTGTCGACAGCGTTAATCATATTTTTGGCATTGTCAGTCACTATTAAAGACACTTTTTCCATCGGAAAATATGGTTGGCAAATGTGTATGATATTTTCTGCAATATTTTTGGCTGAATGACGTTCATCAAAAATTGAGCAGCCGTTTTCCTTTGCATGTGTTCGTCAATAAAATGGCCTGTCACGGCCGAGTAACTTTCAGCCTTTTGGTTGCTCCAACAGTCTAAAGTCAAACAGATATTTTGTACAGCACTAAGAACATTTTTTAAACTTTTTTTTTCCTTCATAAGCAGCAGGAAGCAAGGATTTAGAAACCGTTTTCCATGAAGGTAAGGAATAGGTTGGATTCAAAGCCTTTGAGTATTCTCGGAATCCCTCATTTTCTACGATACTTATTGGTTGTAAATCCTTATATACCATTTTGATCAGTGCGCGATCGATTACTTTTTTTTATGTACATCCATCGTATTTCTCTGGACAAACAGCATTATGCTGGACTGGGATTTTTGTGAAAATACACCAACAATATCACAAGCACTGTTGTCTACCGTAAGTTGTGTAGTCTGCTGGGATGTGCATGGTTGCCCACCATCTGCAGGGCTAGTGACGACAGAACGGGCTGGAGCGGCATCAATATCATCAACATCTTGATTCGGCAAAGCGCGTTTCTCGTGCAGATTTACACAAGGATGCTTCCTTTGCAAATGTTTTTTTTTTAATTTCCTGTTGAACCACCTTTGATGGATAAAAGGTCTTTACAAATGTCACACATAACTTTTTCGTCTTCATTAGTATAGGAAAAGTGCTGCCAAACCAAGCTGAATTTCCTTTTCTTACTAGACATTTTGTAATTCAATTTTTTTTCCTGAGGCGTAAGAAACTGATAGAGACTAAGCAATTCTATAACGAACCGATACTCACCAGTACGAGACAAGAATGAATCTTATGGGAAAAGTGACGAAGTTGGGAGATGGTCATCAGCATCGTCAGATAAGCATAAAAAAATTCTATTAACGACTTCCGCTGTTCACTCCAGCTGCAAATTCTAAAATCAGCACTACGCTGTGAAAAGGGTAAGTGCAATATCGCCTAATGATTCTATTAATCAGGCATGAAAGAGCAAAAAATGCAAAGGAAAAAAAAAAAGGGAGGGACATGTATGTTTACATAAACATGTCCGGATAATTTCCGGTGTTCCATTCGATAGTTTTTCCCCCCCCCTCAAATAAGCTCCAGAGGGAGTAAAAAAAAAAAAAAAGAAGAAGATTCGGACTGCCAGGTCAAAGTTCACCTCTCTTCCTATCGGAGGAGCGTCGTCACGTCCTGGGGGGTAAAGCAGGCGTTGACAATTCTGCGTTAGGCACGTGACATTCTGGGTTTAGTTTTTGGCGAGATGAAAATCTGTTTTTAGAAGGAGGAAGAATTATCATAAGTGGGTCAGTTATCTTTGTTCTTTCATTAGAAAAGTTTAAAATTGCGTCTGTATTTTATGTTGATTGGCTTAGTGATCCACTAGATGCTGTGACATTTTCTGAAGTAGGTACAGCGGGATAAAAAAGGATCATATTTATTTAAAAAGGATCATATGATTTACGTTGCCCTATTAAGCAAGCAAACGAAAAATATTTTTCATGATTTATGCTAAAAATATGTTGAGGAAAAGGAAGTAATCTAGTTGGTAGTTGATTCCATTCACCAATCCAACAACAGCAACTTACCAAATCAATCATTTCAGATCCACGCAGTTTTTCTCGTACAAACGATGAAAAATGAAAACATGCACAATTCGGATTGCAAATCATCTAGCGCTCCCCTCCCTTTCCCTCCTCACTATAGCGACTCCAATCACAAGCGAGCAATGCCGGCGACGGTGATTCCAACTGCTACTATTCCCCCCCCCACACACACAACAAACGGCCTTTCGAAAAATTTCCACTATTTCACACTCGTCCTCCCGCGCACACAAAGGCAATTAATTATACTACCTCAAACTCTAGTCTCCGTGACGAACGGAACGGAAGTTCCCCCTTTCACGTTTGCCATTCCATGCCCTATTTCAAGGTCATTCATGGACACAAGGAGCGCATATCACCATTTCGCAAATACAACCAGATACTACTGTCCTCGTACCAAAACCGAAGTGAGCTGAACCCTCATCGATCCTCCAGTAACGAATACCGAAATACCGAGAAGAGACGCATATTTTCGTTACAAAGTAGCGAATACCGAAAAGCACCCGTTTCGGTACAGAAGTAACGAATACCGTACCCGTTTCGGTACAGAAGTAACGAATACCGAAAAGTACCCGTTTCGGTACAGAAGTAACGAATACCGAAAGTTTACAAAATACCCGGTTCGGTAGTACCGACCATCACATTTGGAGGATCATAACTTTTAATGTTGAAATATGTGAGGGGAAAAAATTCAGAAATTCTCCAACGGAATGTAATTTTCTTTTTAAATATGGATCCTTAAGTATGAATGATCAATGAATCAGCATTTTAGAATATTTTTTTGCAGAATGCGGAAGTCAATATTAATTTGAAAAAAAAAAAAAAAAAAAAAAAAAAAGATAAGCCTATTATGCCTCCTTTAAAAAAATCTACTTATTTACGATCAGTTTCAATTTTTTAAATCATTCTTTTGTGTATAAAGATGACAGCAGCTGATCCGTGCTTGCATGTATCACACATGTGTTTCAGGAATTAAATAACATGCTTCATTTAACTGCCATTTCACAGAACAGTACCTACCTGTTCTTAAAATGTAAATAACAGCCATAAAGGTTATTATTTTTTCACATTCAATTTCCTTGAACAGAGCATTACCTATGAGCCATAAAGTTAGTCACACAATTTTTGCAAATTTACAAAGTCAATTACTAGTTGAATAAATTAGAAGATAATAAGCGTAAGATAAGAAAAATATTTAATAAAATAAATGCTTGTATAGCTTTGAAAAAGTTTCAATCTCGTACAAAGAAGGGTTTTTACATTCATAAATCAAAGCTGCTAATGAACAGCTAAAGTCCGATAAATGCCCGTATTTACCCATTATATAGATGAGATTTAAATTAATGTAATTAACAGTTAATTAGCCAAAATGCAATCACCTTCTGGCATAGGATCGCCAGCTCATATTGGATAATATAAATATTCGAAATATTTGCATTCAAATTTTTGCACAATTTACAAGCGGAAATTTTACACGCAATTAATCTTACACAGTATATTGAATGAAATTAGCCACTTTATTTTTAAGAAAAACTAAGCTAAGTAAATATAGCACCACTAACACATATTCCTTAGCATTTAAATCAACAATAATTTAACATAAGCACACGGTCTTCGAACGTGAGAAATTGCGAACGCTTGGATGAAATCCAACATGAGCGCTTGGACGAAATTCCCTTCTTCCCTCTGTCATTCCGAAAACCGGGCGATGAGCAAAAGTGAGGTTTGGGGTCTAGACGCTTGTTATGCAATCTGTTAATGAGACTGAATTTCTGAAAGAAATGGGCAGTCATTAATTTACATAATTTTTCATATTAAGTCATTTGTGAGTATAGTCTGCCTTTCTATATTTTTAATACCAGATTCTATTCTAGAAATGAAATATTGTTTTTCTCCAACTTCCACCTAGAATTTTTGGTCTCCACGTTGATGTCAAAATTTAAAATTCTGCATCATCATATTCACAAACAGGCTAATGTACATATAAATTACCAGAGTTCGTACGGTCCTTATGAGTCCTTAAATTTTTTGGAATCGATTTTTGGTTCTTAAAAGTCCTTAATTTGGGCCAAAATCAGCAGAAGGTCCTTAATTTTAATCATCTGAAATTTCTGTCTGTTTTTACGACTGCCATTTTGAGTGTGAATTAGCATTTTGGAGGAATATTTTTGGCAATTCACTGCCGTATATATGGTAAATCTTTTGAATGGGTTTATAAGTTATCCCTAAAAATTATCCCTAAAACTAAGAAGTACCGGAGGCAGTCTCCGGCGCAATTTAAGCCCTGGTTATACGGATATCTTGATAAAGCAAAAGAAGAATCCATCTTTGGTCATGACCAAACATGTCGCATGATGAGTTTTAATTGTAAACCACATGAGAGGCGGAGTTTAAATACGTCAGAATGACGTCACCAGAGCCAACCAACCAAAATTTCCTGCCAAGTTGAAACTTAGTCTCACCCGCAACGAGGTCCTCCAGTGAGTCAACGGGAGTCTCGTAAATGAAGCTCTTCAGACGGCCCCATAAAAAAAAATCCAAGCTTGATAAATATGGCAAACGCGTCCACCACGGCCAATCCATCGGCCCGGAAATGTCCCATCCAAGTAATTGTGGACCCGCACATGGTTTGGGCTGGTGCACCATCATGCTGGAACCACATGCAATCACGAACGACAGCCGGAATATCCTGCAGCAATTCCGGTAGCACCTCTTTCAGAAAAATATTATAACACAAGCCATTTGTACATGCAGGTAAGAGGTATGAGCCCATGAGGTAGTAGTTAACAATACACACCCACACATTCATGGAGAAGCGGGTTTGGAATGCATGTGGACGTGTGGATTATGAGTTGCCCATTTGTGCATGTTGTGGCTATTGAAGATGCCGCCCTGTGAGAAAGTTGTCTCGTCCGTGAATAACACATCCGATGGGAAATCCGCCTGCACCGCACACTGCTGCAAGAACCAATGACAGAAATAAACTTGAAGAGGAGTAATCTGCCTCTTGCAAGGCTTGGACTCTCTGCAAATGGTATAGGTGCAAACAATTTTCATGCAATACTCTCCAAACGATGGAATGAGCTGCAGACGACGTGCAATAGCTCTTGTACTTGTCTGAGGTGATTCATGCACAATGATCAAGATGGATTCTTCAATGCGAGGTTGTCGTGCACTTCTTCTTCCACTCTTAGTATCGGAGGTGGCTTCAAATGACCCGTTTTCACACAGAGACTGATGCTAACCTCTTAAACATTGTGTGCTTCGGCATACGCCTGTTCGGAAATCGTTCCTGATACAACCGTAGCATTCCTCTGCCATTCCCATTAGCAGCGCCCTACATGAGATGCATGTCAGCTTTTTCCCTGTACGTAAACTCACCCATCACTCTTGACAGC